AAAAGCCGTCTGAGATTAGGGCTGCCCAAAAGCAACCCCAGAAAGCCAGGAGGGTGCGCGTGCCTGGAGAGCCGCGGGGTGCCTGCTGGTCTCGGGGGGGGCTGGGGGGCGGGGCTGGCTGCCGTGGACGGGGCCCTGAAAACTGGGGCACTGACTCCAGCTGGCCCATCGCTGCCCGCACGTCCAGCTCGAGCCTCGCTCCCCCTCCTCCCGGGGAAAGGATGCAGAGGGACGCAGAGGGACCAGGGTGTGAGCACAGGTGTGCGGGAGGGAGGCCAGGAGGCCGGAGCTTTCTGGGGGCATCTACCCCCCTCACCCCATTCCCGGCAAAGGAGGCACATTTGTGGGGGCCAGCCAGATGCCTGCCGACTCCACACCTGGCTGAGAGAGAGCGAGAGAGAGAGAGAGAGGCCCAGATGATGCACTAGAGGAGGCTGGGTCTTGGTTACAGGAACTTACAGACGTTGCTATTTTTTATCTTTTTTTAAAATATATATTTTTATTGATTTCAGAGAGGAAGGGAGAGGGAGAGAGAGAAACATCCATGATGACAGAGAATCATGGACCGGCTGCCTCCTGCACGCCCCCACTGGGGATGGAGCCCGCAACCCGGGCCTGTGGCCCTAGACAGGAATCGAACCCGGGACCTTTCAGTCCGCAGGCCGGCGCTCTATCCACTGAGCCAGACCAGCCAGGGCACAGACACTGCTGTTCCCAGAACCGAGCGAATCAAACACCAGTATTTCCAAGTGTCCCGCATGCCCCCGTGCGCACCCCACTCAGCAAGGGGGCCCCAAATCTAGCTGGGGTGGCGCCAGCTCGGGAGGCTTGGGGTGGCAATAAGGGAGAGGCCGTGTCCCCCTGTTTACAGTCAGGTTTGGTCTCCGACCACATTCCTAATCTCCTATCGGTGACGGCAATGCCGCAGGGCAGGTGGGATGGACAGCCTCCTGCTCAGAGCGGCGCCCCCCCCACGTCCTCAGCGGCCTGTGGGGTCCTGACGGGATAGTGCGGGCCCAGCGTGGGCGGGGGCGGGGGAGGGCAGGGGGGACGCCGCGCCCGCCCGCCCCCGTGACCCGCCTCTCGTCTGCCCGCAGGTGGTGGAGGACTGGAAGTACGTGGCCATGGTGGTCGACCGGCTGTTCCTGTGGGTGTTCGTGGTCGTGTGCGTGCTGGGCACTGTGGGGCTCTTCCTGCCCCCCCTCTTCCAGAACCACACGCCCTCGGGGGGGCCCTAGGCTGCCCTGCATGTCCCAGGCCCCCCGCCCCCGCCCCCAATTTGTAGGGTGAGATGATGGGAGCGGCCCAGTGGGCAGTCTGCTGTATCTTCAGGGTGAGCCCCGCGGGGCCCCCAAAAGGAACATGACACCATCACCCGTCAACCAGCCACAGCGTGGGAGGGGCCAGGACTGAGGCCTGCGCTGGCCTCTCTGAAGGCCGAGCTGGGACCCAGGAAAGCCCAGCTGGAGGGGCTTGGGGAGGTTTGGTTCTGGCCGGTCTTCCCTGCATCGGGACCAGGACGGGCACCATAGCAGCACCCACTGTGTGCCAGTCCCCGTACCTCGCACCCTCCCTGCCCCGGTCTCCCTCCGGGTCCCCCAGGCCCACTGGCCCTCTCTGTCCCTCACACACTTCAGGATCCTTCCCAGCTCTGAGCCTGTGCCTTTATAGGACCTTCGACCCAAACCCTCCCGCCCCCAGGGCCTCCCAGGCTCTGCCCCGGCTGCATCCTCCCCGAGAGGTCTTGCCCGGTCCCCCACTTCGCAGCCTTCTCCCCCGGGGCCACAGTACCCACCACCTTCCTCAAGTGCCCCTCAGCTCCCGGGGTTCTTGTCTGCAGGCGTGTGTATGGGCCACGTCCGCCCGCTAGAGGGGCAGCTCCGTGAGAGCAGAGACCCGTTCCTTTGTGTTCGCGGCGGTATCCCCGGGGCCCGGGACAGAGCTGGGCACAATAAACGCGTGTTGAATGAATGAACGAAAGGCTCCTGTTCCTCCTTCAGGCCGCCCCTGGTTCCCCACATGAAAGCCTGGCCCTCTCCTCCCTCGCCCTCCACAGCCCAGTCCCTCCGCCCTGTACCGTCTCCGGGTTCAGCTGTCTCCCTCAGATGCTCACGGCCCGCCTTATCTTTTCCCAGTACCTGATGCACAGTAGGCGCTCAGAATATTTGTAGAAGGAAAGATACCTTTTTGTAAATTCTATTTTTTTGAATGATACAGTTCTAGCCCAGCCGGTGTGGCTCAGTGGTCGACCTCTGAACCAGGAGGTCACGGTTCGATTCCCAGGCAGGGCACATGCCCGGGTTATGGGCTCCATCCCCAGTGTGGGGTGTGCAGGAGGCAGCTGATCCATGATTCTCTCACATCATTGATGTTTCTGTCTCTCTCTCACTCTCTGAATTAAAAAATGGAAATGACAGTTTTAGACACACACAAAAATCTCCTCTTGGCCAGGAAAAGTACATTTTTGACATGTGTCTAGGTTCGTGTAATCAGAATATATGAGACCCATTATAAAAACTAGAGGCCTGGTGCACAAATTCGTGCACCAGTGGGGTCCCTCAGCCTGGCCTGTGGGATTGGGCCAAAACCAGCTCTTTGACATCCCCCGAAGGGTCCCAGATTGCAAGAGGGTGCAAGCCAGGCTGAGGGACCCCCCTGGTGCACAATTGGGGCCGGAAGGGACTGTGGGAGGGCTCCAGGGCGAGTTCGGCCCATCTCGCTCAGTCCCGATCAGCCAGACCCCAGCAGCAAGCTCACCTATGGGTCGGAACGTCTGCCCCCTGGTGGTCAGTGCATGTCATAGCAACTGGTTGAGCGGCCTTAGCATATCATTAGCATATTACGCTTTGATTGGTTGACAGACGACCGGACACTTAGCATATTAGGCTTTTATTATATAGGACTAGAGGCCCAGTGCACAAAATTCGTGCACTGGGAGGGAAGTGTCCCCAGCCCAGGCTGCACCCTCTCCAATCCTGGACCCCTTAGGGGATGTCCGACTGCTGGTTTAGGCCCGATCGGTATCGGGCCTAAACCTGCAGTCGGACATCCCTCTCACAATCCGGGACCACTGGCTCCTAACTGCCCACCTGCCTGCCTGCCTGATCTCCCCTAACTGCCCCTCCCGCTGGCCTGGTCACCCCCACGCAGCCTGCTGCTCAGTCCTTTGGTCGCCCCTCAGGGGCACTCCTGTGGGGCTGGTCGCCCTTCACTGACCCCCCTGCAGGCCTGGTTGCCCCATACAGCCTGTCCAGCCGTCCGTTCGGTGGCGATGGTCACTTAGGCTTTTATATATAGAGATAACTCCTTTGTGCTACCGCGGTGGTCCTGCCTCCCTCCACCCCCAGCCCCAGCAGCCACCCATCTTTCCCGATCCCTCGGTCTAGTCTAGCCGGGAACACCGTTCACACGCATCGCACGGCATGGGGCCTCCGCTCGCTCACGTGATGCCTTTGAGACTTGGATCCAAGTCGCTGAGGCCACCGACCGATTGCTCCTCGGTCACGTGGGTGTCGGACACGTTTAGGCTGGGACCCGTTTGGGGCAATTGTGCACAGAGCTGCTCCGTGAACAGCAGTTTTCGTGTCTCCGGATGGAGACTCGGGAGCCGGGTTCGCGGGGAGTGTACGTGTAACTGAGGTGAGACCGTCAGCCTGCTCGCAGGAGGGGCTGTGCCGTCTCGCCCTCCCACCGGCCAGGTAGGAGGGCCCCGGTGCTCTGTGTCCTCGCCGGCACTTGGGACTGGCTGTGCTTTCTGCTTTAGCCAGCACCGTGCCTGTGAAGGCGAACCTTTGCCTGGTTCCAGTTTGCTTTTCTCTAGTCTCGTGGCTACTGACGTGGAACATCTTTTTCCTGTGATTTTTTTTATTTTTTATTTTTTTCCCTTCTGAATATCCTCTTTGGTGGAGTATCTATTTGACTGTTTTGCTCATTTAATAATTATTTTTTAAAATATATTTTTATTGATTTTAGAGAGGAAGAGAGATAGACAGAAACATCCATGATGAGAGAGAATCACTGATCAGCTGCCTCCGGCAGGCCCCACACTGGGGATCGAGCCCGCAACCCAGGCATGTGCCCTTGGCCAGAATCGAAGCCGGGACCCTTCAGTCCGCTAGGCAACGCTCTATGCACTGAGCCACACCAGCCAGGGCTTAATTATTGTTTTAAAATACATTTTTGTTGATTTCAGAGAGGAAGGGAGAAGGAGAGACATTGATCAGCTGCCTCCTGCACGCCCCCTACTGGAAATTGAGCGCGCAACCCGGGCATGTGCATGGGTCCGTGCTCAACCAGTGAGCAACGCCGGTATTTTTCCTTCTTTCGTCTCACTTCCTAAGAGCAGGCATTTCAAACATCCTCAACCGCATAGCAAACCTCCAGGGACCCCTGGCGGAGCCGCAACCATTCCGCTCCCCACGAACCCGAGCTCGGCTGCCTCGGATCCCCCGCCTCCCGCGCGCGAAGGGATCCCCAAAACCAAGTAGCCCATCAGCGGTTCTCAACCTTCCTGATGCCGTGACCCTTTCATACAGTCCCTCATGTTGTGGTGACCCCCAACTATAAAATTATTTTCGTGGCTACTTCTTCGCTGTCATGTTGCTACTGTTATGAATCGTCATGGAAATACCTGAAATGCAGGATAGATTTAAAGGGGTCGCGACCCACAGGTTGAGAACCGCTGAGCGGGATCGCACCTCCAATGCCCAACAGTGGCTTTATCGCGCCAAGACCCCGCGGCCTCCTTCCGAGGCGCGTGAGGGGCCCTGGGGGGCGGGGGAGGACGGGGGGCAGCCACCCGAGGCGGGGACGCGCGCGGCGCGCCGGGGCACAGGATCCCACGTGGCGCGCCCTCCCAGGCCGGCTGCCCAGCTCCCCGCGGGCGGGGCGGGGCGGGGCGGGGCGGGGCGGTCGGGTCCGCGCTCTGATTGGCTGGCGCGGCCGCCTCCCGCACCAGCCCCAGCGCATCCCCCCCCCCCCACCCAGCGCCCGACCCGACTCCCCGGCGCGCGGCGGGCGGGGCGGGCGGGAGGCTGGGAACCACCCGAGCCCCGCGCTCCCCGCCCCCTTTGTCTCCGAGCGGCCGGCGCGCGGGGAGCCCACGGACCTCGGCTGCCTCCTCCCCCCGAATCCGCTCCCGGTCGCTCGCTCGGGGCCTCCGGGCAGCCGGACGCACGGCCATGGGCGCACCCTCGCGCGGGGCGCACCCACTTGTGCTGCTGCTGCTGCTGCTGCTCCCGGGTGAGCGCGGGGGAGGCCGCGGGACGGGCGCCCCGAGAGGCGACGCGGAGTCCGAGTGGGGGAGCGGGGCGAGGAGGGGGTCGGGGACGCGCGGGGTGGGGACGCGCCTTCCCCGTGGGCGCTGCCTCCTCGGCCTCCGCCGGGAGCGCTGGGTCGGCAGTGGCGTCGGCTCCACCGTCTGCATCGCGGCCCCTAAACATGGAGAAACCGAGGCAGAGAGGGGACGACTGGAGGGCTCCGTGGGGAGGGGGCAGGCGGTTCGGGCCGGGGGTAGGGAGGGGGTGCTGGGGGGAAAGCTTGCGCGCCGGCCCCCCCTCCTGCCTTCTCCCCGCTGCGCCCGAGCGCGCGCCCCGCCTCTGCCGGGTCGCGGGGAAACGGCCCCGACCCGTCGCCAGGAGTCTCTGGCCTGCGGGGGGCGGTGGTAGGAGGGGGCGAGGGTTTGGCAGGGTCGCGGGGTGGGGGGTGGGGGTGGATGGGGAAGAGGGGGGACGCGAGGTGGCCGTGCGCTCAGAGCCGCCGCTCCTGCCACCTCCATGCTGAGGCCCCCGCCGCTCAGAGCGCCTGGCACCCCCCCCCCCAGCTCCTGGAGCCCCTCCTTCATGGGGGGGACAGGGGGGACGGGACGGGGGCAGGCACGATCGCATTTCTAGACCCGGAGAAACTGGGACTTCACCAGGGCTTCCCCTCCCCGCTCCCCAAATTCTAAGTGGGAAGCGGCAGGCAGCGGACTCGAGGTGCCTGGGGTGGTCCTGGCCGGTTTGGTTCGGTGGACAGAGCATCAGGCCGTGGACCAAAGGGTCCCGGGTTCAACTCCGGTCAAGGGCGCGCGTACCTCAGTTGCAGGCTTGATCCTCCCCACCCTCCCCCCCCAGTCTGGGTCCATGCCGGAGGCAACCAATCCATCTCTCTCTCTTCTCTCTCTCTCTCTCTCTCTCTCTCTCTCTCTCTCTCTCTCTCTCTCTCCCCTCTCCCTTCCTCTCTCTCTAAAAGTCAATGGGAAAATACCCTGGGATGCGAAGGGGTCCCCGAGGGTTTCAGAGAGTTTAGGGGGGTCTCCGACCAGGGTGTGAAGGCGGCATCCGCAGGAACCCTGGCTCACAGTCTAAGACCCACGGGGCCATGTAGGCGCCCAACTTCTACATAAGAGGGTTGGGGGCCAGACCCTGACAGGGTCCCGCGTGGGACAGAGGGGAGCCCCGGGCCTGGGCTGCAGCGCCCCCACCCCCCGGGAGGCTGGGAGGCGGCACACCTGGCGGGGGGTGGGGGTGGTGGCCCGGGGGCCCCTGGGTTATCTCCGTCCGGAAGCAGCCAGCGGCTGTACCTGTGTGGACCCTGCACCTGCCCCATCACAGCAGGGAGGACGAGGAGCGCACCTGGGTCCCACGGAACGCTGGCCCGAGCTGAGCCCCTCCCTGTAACAACCCTACTGCGCGGACACATTCACAGCCTTTGTTTTCACAGAGAAAGCAGCTGGGGTTCAGAGAGGTGGAGCCACCTGCCTAAGGTCACACAGCCCACAGGGAGTTTGTCAGCACACGCACCAGAGCTCTCCACACCCAGAACCCCGGCTCGGCCAAACGTTCCGGAGCCACCCCCCCCCCACCCCGGGGTGCAAAGGGGGCTGTTTTTTTTGGGGGGGGAGGGTCCCGGCGAGGGGACACGGGTCTGACGGGCGCCTCCCTCAGGGGCCCGCGGCTCGGAGGCCGAGCACCGCCTGTTCGAGCGGCTGTTCCAGGACTACAACGAGATCATCCGGCCCGTGGCCAACGTGTCCGACGCCGTCATCATCCAGTTCGAGGTGTCCATGTCCCAGCTGGTGAAGGTGGTGAGTGCTGGCCGTGGCCGTGGCCGTGGGGCGCGGGGCCGCGGGGGAGGCCTCCCCAGGGCCCGCTGTGGCCCTGCACCCACCCCCGCTCGTCTACCTTTCCAGGATGAAGTCAACCAGATCATGGAGACCAACCTGTGGCTCAAGCAAGTAAGTGGCCGGGCCCTGCGCGTGCTGCCCCCTGGTGGCGACTGCCCTGCTCGCTTCCTTTCTGCAGACCGGCCTGGGGCCCATTGAGTGTTGGGCCTGGGGCCCAAGGTGTACCCCCCGCTCCCCGCCCCAAGCACTGCAGGGCCTGGTCCCGCAAGCCCAGATGGGACAGACCGGGGCCTGCAGGCCTGGCCCCCAACTCTAGGGTGGGCTAAGACCACCTCCTTCCCTTCCTCTTGCCAAAAACTCCTCCTGAAGTCGGAATCAGACGCTGGGGTCCTTGTTGGCTGGGAGGTGGGGGCCCCCAGCTCCGATGGAGGACAAAGACCTCGTCTCCCCTGTGCCCTCCCCAGGGAGGCCCGGCCGAGACCTGGGCCGATAACGCTCTGGCCTGGCCGCGACCTTCCACCCGCCGGCTGGCGAGCCTCTTCCAGGCGCCTGGGACGCCGGGAGGGCCCAGTGCCCACGCGGGGCCCCCACGGCACACGCTCTCCCCTCAGGGGCTCAGGACCAGGTCTCCCAGCCTCTGCACCCGGCACTTCTTGGGCCGCGAGGGGGTCGTGGGTGCTCTCCCCAAACCCTTCAGACACCAGCCCTGCTCAACCTGGGTGCTGTGTGTGTCTGGCACCCTGTTTGGGGACCTGGTGGGGAAGGTCGTCAACTTACGAGCTCAGCCCGGCTGGTGTGGCTCAGTGGTTGAGCCTTGACCTAGGAACCAGGAGGTCAGGGTTCGATTCCCGGTCAGGGCACAGGCGGGGGTTGTGGACTCGATCCCCAGTGTGGGGCGTGCCGGAGGCGGCGGATCCATGACCCTCTCTCATCACGGATGTTTCTATCTCTCTCTCCCTCTCCCTTCCTGTCTGAAAGCAATAATTTTTTAAAAATATATTTTATTGATTTTTTACAGAGGGGAAGGGAGAGGGATAGAGAGTTAGAAACATCGATGAGAGAGAAACATCGATCGGCTGCCTCCTGCACGCCCCCCACTGGGGATGTGCCTGCAACCAAGGTCCATGCCCTTGACCGGAATCGAACCCGGGACCCTTCAGTCCACAGGCCGACGCTCTATCCACTGAGCCACACTGGTCAGGGCTAAAAATATATTTTTTAAAAACAGCACACGGACCAGACCTGGTGAGAGTCAGCGCTGGAGGTCCTCACACGATTGGCAGGGGGCGGCCCGCGCCCGCAGCCCAGGGCTCTCCCCGGTGTCACGGGGCTGGGTGGGGAGTCGCCAGGGAGGGGGGCACCAGAGAAATAAACCACACGGTCCCCCCCCCCCCCAGATCTGGAACGACTACAAGCTGAAGTGGGACCCCGCGGACTACGACGGGGCGGAGTTCCTGCGCGTCCCCGCCCAGAAGATCTGGAAGCCGGACATCGTGCTCTACAACAAGTAAGGGGGCGCCCGCCTTCCCGGCCCTTCCCTTCCCTCTCCGATGGGCACCATCCCCTGGCTCCCCCACAGGCGTTCGCTGAGCACCCACTGCGCCTGCCTCGGGAGATGGCTGTGCCTCCGGGCAGACAGGCCTGGGCTGTAATATCCAATCCTGCAACTGCAGGTCAGAGCGAGGGCAGGGAGGGGACAGAGAGAGGAGGGCAGGGAGGGGGCAGAGCGAGGAGAGCAAAGGCGGGGAGGGGGCAGAGCGAGGGCTGGGAGGGGGCAGAGCGAGGGCCGGGAGGGGGACTCCATGGGGGGTGGCACCTGCCACCACCGCCCTCCCCGGGACAGACCGTTCCTGCAGGTCAGGAAGGAGGAGATCTGCTCGCCTGATGACCAGTCCTGCCCCCTGACCCTCCCTCCCCACGCACCTCCCCACCCGCTTCAGGGAGCCTCTGAGGTCCCTCCCCTGCCGTTCTTTGTTCGTTTGTTTTAAATATATTTTTATTGATGTCAGAGAGGAAGGGAGAGGGGGAGAGAGAGAGAGAAACATCCATGATGAGAGAGAATCATGGATCAGCTGCCTCCCGCATGCCCCCCACTGGGGATCGAGCCCACAACCCAGGCCTGTGCCCTTGACCAGAATCGAACCCGGGACCCTTCAGTCCGCAGGCCGGCGCTCTATCCACTGAGCCACACAGGCTAGGGCCCGCCTCTGCCGTTCTGAACCTGCCAGTGGTGGCGCCTGTCTTTCCTAAAAAGCGGACAGTCCCCACACGTAGGCCCCACGAGGCAGACATAGGTGCTCACTGATCACTGACAGTATGTGCTGGTCCGTTCCTGGGTGTGGGAAACATCACTTTTCCACCTGTACCTTATCTCTAGTCGTACTGTTCAGCGTTTTTCCTATAGATATGGTCCAATCTGATCTTAATGAGTAAAAAAAAAAAGCATTTTGTGTTTACGTCGTATTCGTACACACGGATATATTTCACTGTTCCTATCAGGGCTGGGGAAGCTATGTTTTTGGCTGCATCCCACTTTCTGGTCAATGGCTAAAAGGAGGGGGATCTTTACCCACTTCAAGAACTGGTCCGTGTTTTATTTCCTGTTTTCTCAAGAAAAAAACAAACACACCATTCAAAATTGCATGATTCTGCCCGGTTGGTGTGGGTGGCTCAGTGGTTGAGCGTTGACCTATGAACCAGGAGGTCTGGGTTCGATTCCCGCTCAGGGCACAGGCCTGGGTTGCGGGCTCGATCCCCAGTGGGGGGCATGCAGGAGGCAGCCGATCCCTGATTCTCTCTCATCATGGATGTTTCTCTCTCTCTCTCCCTCTCCCTCCCCTTCCTCTCTGAAATCAATTTTTAAAAAATTAAAAAACAAATAAAGAACACAGGCAGAATTTTTAATCTCACGATTTAAATGTCACAGCGGTTTTCTTCCCGGAAATCTCGGGCGAATGGGGACCTTCAGGATGTGTGCTCACAGCGGCACCGAGAGAGTGGTGGGCGCTTCAGACTGGGTTTGGGAGAAGCAAAGAGCAGAAGCCATTTCCTTAGACTCTGAGGCCGGAAGTAACATTTAGAGAAAAGCATCCAGCTCGTCTCTTCCCGTCAGAACTCGGGCTTCTCGGGGCTGGGCCTCCCTGGAGGGTTTCTCTGTGTTTACCTTCTTTTTTAAAAAAAATATTTTTTTAATTGATTTTTTACAGAGAGGAAAGGAGAGGGATAGAGAGTTAGAAACATCGATGAGAGAGAAACACTGATCAGCCGCCTCCTGCACGCCCCCCACTGGGGATGTGCCCGCAACCCAGGTACATGCCCTTGACCGGAATCGAACCCGGGACCCTTCAGTCCGCAGGCCGGCGCTCTATCCACTGAGCCACACCGGTCAGGGCAGCATTTACCTTCTTATGCCAACGTTTCTCGATCACCTTTGTTTTCTGAAATCCACTCTCTGACGCAATCCTCAGGGGGTGCCCAGAACGCGCCCTGAGTTCTCACCCGTTCGTCACTCGGGGCGGCCTTTTTAGATAACGCTTTGTGGCCATTCACCTGACACGACACCCTTGGTTCCTCTTCTTCCCTCCGGTGGACGCCTTTCAGACGCTGACTCAGGTCCTGGTGCAAAGTGCGGACGTCAAAGCCTGAGGCCCGTCCGATTCTCTTGTTCTTGTAACACCGGGCGACTCTGGGGCGAGAAAGTGGCCACTGTTCGTCGGTGTCCCAGGACCAAGAGGCAGCCAGGGCTGCCCTAGACGCGCTGGGATGTGTCGTCAGCTTACGTGTCAGGGGGCTGTTCTTTTCGCTTGGGTCACCAAGAGATATTTTTCCTTTGTCTTTTTTTTTTTTTTTTTTTAAGATATATCTTGCCCTGACTGGTGTGGCTCAGTGGATAGAGCGTCAGCCTGCGGACTGAAGGGTCCCAGGTTCGATTCCGGTCAAGGGCATGTACCTTGGTTGCGGGCACATCCCCAGTGGGGAGTTTGCAGGAGGCAGCTGATCGATGTTTCTAACTCTCTATTCCTCTCCCTTCCTCTCTGTAAAAAACCAATAAAATATATTTAAAAAAAAAAGATATATCTTATACTAGAGGCCCAGTGCATGAAATTCATGCACAGGTAGGGTCCCTAGGCCTGGCCAGTGATCAGGGCCGATTAGGGCCTTTTGGCTGCCAGCAGGGGCCTTCCTTTGTTCCGCACCACCTCCTGGTGGTCAGTGCACATCATAGCAAGCGATCGAACTCCCAGTCTCCTGGTCAAACTCCCAAGGGACACTTTGCATATTAGCCTTTTATATATATAGATATAATTTTTAAAAATATACCTTTTAAAAATATATATCTTTTTTAAAAATATCTATTTCAGAGAGGAAGGGAGAGAGAAACATCCATGATGAGAATCGTGGATCGGCTGCCTCCTGCACGCCCCCCGCTGGGGATCGAGCCTGCAACCCGGGCCTGTGCCCTTGACTGGGAATTGAACCCTGACCTCCTGGTTCATAAGTTGATGCTGGACCACTGAGCCACACCCCGCCAGGCCCCACCGCCTCTGTTCCCTCCCACAAACTGCCCTCTTTGTTTCATGTGCTGAAGATTCATTGCAGAGTAGGGTCCACTTTTTGAGGGGCAGAAACTTCTCGGTGATTTCCACCTGGGGCCCCCAGGACAGGAGAACCCCCTTTTCTCTGCCCCCTGCGACCTCCACCCGCAGCTAACCCCACATGTTCCAATGCAGGTCCTGATGGCGGTGGGGGTTCAGCCCCACACACTCATCATAGTCTGAGGTTCAGGGGGTTCCGTGTCACCTTCGTGGACGATGCGGGCGGGAGGTTTTGCCTGTTGCTATCCCAGTTGCCCTGCATTGCTGAGGGAATCTGGAGGGAGTGAAACACGAATGCTGCCCTGGCTGGTGTTTCCCAGTAGTTAGAGCACCGGACCTCGGACTAGAGGGTCCTGGGTTCGATTCCTGGTCAAGGGGACGTACCTTGGTTGCAGGTTCAATCCCTGGCCCCAGTTGGGGCTCCAGCAGGAGGCAACAATCGATGTATTTCTCTCGTGTCCATGTTTCTTTCTCTCTCTCTCTCCTCCCTCCCTTCCACTCTGTTTAAACAAAATCAATGGATCCCTGGCTGGTGTGGCTCAGTGGATAGAGCGTCAGCCTGCGGACTCAAAGGTCCCAGGTTCGATTCCAGTCAAGGGCACAGGCCCAGGTTGAGGACTCCATCCCCAGTGGGGGGCGTGCAGGAGGCAGCCGATCAATAATTCCCTCTCATCATGGATGTTTCTCTCTCGCTCTCCCTCTCCCTTCATCTCTGAAATCAATAAAAAAATATATTTTTTAAAAATCAATGGAGCCCGGCCAGCATGGCTCAGGGGTTGAAGGTCGACCTATGAACCAGGAGGTCACGGTTTGATTCCAGCTCAGGACACAGGCCTGGGTTGCGGGCTCCATCCCCAGTGTGGGGCCTGCAGGAGGCAGCTGGTCCATGATTCTCTCTCCTCATGGATGTTTCTCTCTCTCTCTCTCTCTCTCCCTTCCTCTCTGACATCAATAATAAATATACTTTTAAAAAATCAATAGGAAACATCCTCCGCTGAGGATTACAAGAACACGAATGCCGCCACGCTCTCCCCGTTGGCGCCCTCAGCTCCTACAGCTGCTCACTTGCAGCCTGTCTGCCCTTCCTTCCTCTAATCGACCCCCCTGCTCAGAGCCCAGTGGCTCAGAGGCACCCCCACCCCCGTCCCCGCCCGCTGTCCTCGCCGTCAGCCAGCTCCTGGTCGCCCTGTGACCGGAGATCGGAGATCGTCCTTTATTTCCTGGTCATTCGCTCAGTCAGCGGATGCTTACCCAGTGCCCCTCTGTGGCTGGCGCTGAGCCCGATCCCAGGCCCAGGCCGGGTCCTCTCTGCCCCCTGGTGGCAGAGACGGGCTGCTGACCCTGCCGGTCGGCACACAGGCCTCCGGTGACCGGGATCCCTGGAAAACAGCGGGGACGTGCATCAGCCACCGAGACCGGCTTCTCGCCAACACCTGGCCTCGGAGCCCACGGGGTTAGGCGCCTCCTCACCTGGGGACCCGAGTCCTGGGTGGTCACGGCTCTGCCACCAGCTCTGCAGCTCGATCCTGTTCCCTGGGCTTCCATTTCCTCTTCAGTAAAACGAGGGGGTCAGCCCGGCCGGCGTGGCTCCGTGGTTGAGCGTTGGTTGACCCATGAACCGGGAGGTCACGGTTCGATTCCCGGTCAGGGCAGAGGCCCGGGTTGCAGGCTCCATCCCCAGTGTAGGGCCTGCAGGAGGCAGTCAGTAAATGATTCTCATCATTGGTGTTTCTCTCTCTCTGTCTGTCTCTCTCTCTCTCCCTTCCTCTCTGAAATCAGTAAAAACATATATTTTTTAACAGTAGCCATAGACAGCCCTAGCCGGTTTGGCTCAGTGGACAGAGCGTCGGCCCCCGGACTAAAGGGTCCGGGTTCGATTCCAGTCCAGGGCACGTACCTTGGTTGCAGGCTCCATCCCCGGCCGTGGTCGGGGGCGTGTGGGGGAGGCAACCCATCGATGTGTCTCTCTCTGTGTCTCTCCCCCTCCCTTCCACTCTCTCTAAAAATCAATGGGAGAATATCCTCGGGTGAGGATTAACAAACAAACAAACAAGTAGCCATAGGCCGTAGGCGCGTGGGGATGGCTGTGTGCTCCGGTAAGAATTTACTTACAGGCCGGCTGGTGTGGCTCAGGGGTTGAGCGTCCACTTAGGAACCTGCCTCCGGGCCGACAACGTTCATCCTGTTTCTCTCCTTCAAGAGAAGGGGCACTTGGGGTGTCTCGATGCAACAGGCGTTGTGTGTGGTGGGATGAGCCAGCGACCTCCTCGAGGCGCGGTGAGGGTGTCAGACGGTGTGTGAGGCCGGGGCGGGGGGCCAGGGGGGGTGTCCTGGGCTCCAGGGTCCCCCTCGGTGTGTGGGTGGACATCCCGGCGCTCTGAGCTCGACCGTCCCGTGAGCTGGCCGGCCCGCGTGTGCCGTGACCGGGCCCCGCCTCTCTCCCCGCAGCGCCATGGGGGACTTCCAGGTGGACGACAAGACCAAAGCCCTGGTCAAGCACACGGGCGAGGTGACCTGGATCCCCCCGGCCATCTTCAAGAGCTCCTGCAAGATCGACGTCACCTACTTCCCCTTCGACTACCAGAACTGCACCATGAAGTTCGGCTCCTGGTCCTACGACAAGGCCAAGATCGAGCTGGTCCTGGTCGGCTCCTCCATGAACCTCAAGGACTACTGGGAGAGCGGCGAGTGGGCCATCATCCACGCCCCCGGCTACAAGCACGACATCAAGTACAACTGCTGCGAGGAGATCTACCAGGACGTCACCTACTCGCTGTACATCCGGCGCCTGCCCCTCTTCTACACCATCAACCTCATCATCCCCTGCCTGCTCATCTCCTTCCTCACGGTGCTCGTCTTCTACCTGCCCTCCGACTGCGGCGAGAAGGTGACGCTGTGCATCTCCGTGCTGCTCTCCCTCACCGTCTTCCTGCTGGTCATCACCGAGACCATCCCGTCCACCTCGCTGGTCATCCCGCTCATCGGCGAGTACCTGCTGTTCACCATGATCTTCGTCACCCTGTCCATCGTCATCACGGTCTTCGTGCTCAACGTGCACTACCGGACGCCCGCCACGCACACCATGCCCGCCTGGGTGAAGGCCGTGTTCCTGCAGGCGCTGCCCCGGGTCATGTTCATGGCCAGGCCGGCGGGCGGCGAGGGCGGCGGCGGCGGCGGCGGTGCCCCAGGGCCGAGGCCCGCCGCCAGCGCCAGCGCCGAGTTCGCCAACCTCAACTGCTTCCGCCGTCGCCCGGGGTCCAAGGACGGCAAGGAGGGCGGCCCCTGCCAGGAGGGGCTGTGCGGTGCCAGCCGCCACCGCCGCTCGGTGAAGATCTCCAACTTCACCGCCAACCTCACGCGGAGCTCCAGCACCGACTCCGTGGACGCCGTGCTCTCGCTGTCGGCCCTGTCGCCGGAAATCAAGGAGGCCATCCAGAGCGTCAGGTACATCGCGGAGAATATGAAGGCGCAGAATGAGGCCAAAGAGGTAAGGGCGTGTTAGGGCATCTGTCATTACGGCGGTCGGTCATCCGCTCAGCAGACGTGTATGGGCTCCTGTGGGGCAAGGCGTAGGGCTGGGTTAAGAAATTAGACTCTGGCCCGGCCGGTGTGGCTCAGTGGTTGAGCATCAACTTAGGAACCAGGAGGTCCCGGTTCGATTCCCGGTCAGGGCCCGGGCCCGGGTTTCGGGCTCCATCCCCAATGTGGGGCGTGCAGGAGGCCGCCGATCCAGGATTCTCTCTCATCATGGATGTTTCTCTCTCTCACTCCCTTTCCCTTCTTCTCCGAAATCAATAAAAATATATATTTAAAAAAAAAAAGAAAAGAAATTGGGCCCTAGCTGGTTTGGCTCAGTGGATAGAGCATCGGCCTGCGGACTGAAAGGTCCCAGGTTCGATTCCAGTCAAGGTCATGTACCTTGGTTTCGGGCACATCCCCAGTAGGAGGTGTGCTGGAGGCAGCTGATGGATGTTTCTCATCAATGTTTCTGACTCTCTGTCCCTCTCCCTTCCTCTCTGTGAAAAATCAATAAAATATATTAGAAAAAGAAAAGAAAAGAAATTAGACTTTGGCCTGGCTGGTGTGGCTCAGTGGTCGAGCCTCAACCTCAAAACCAGGAGGTCACGGTTCAATTCCCGGTCAGGGCACATGCCTGGGGTTTCAGGCCTGAATCCCAGTAGGGGGCGTGCAGGAGGCAGCTAACCAATGATTCTCTCTCATCATCGATGTTTCTCTCTCTCTCTCCCTCTCCCTTCTTCTCTGAAATCAATAGAAACATATATTTTTTTTAAATGAAAGAAAGTCACGTAACTTACCCAGACTCTCCGGACTAGAAAGGAGCGGAACTGGGACTGTACCCAAAGCTGCCTCCAGGCCTCTGCCTCCCGCCCCCGTCTCCCAGGCCTGAGGGGTCTCAGCCAGCAGAACAGGAGGGAGCCCCTGTACAGGGTCCATTTGGTACTGGAAGCACATACAAACCCCGCTCTTCGGACCGCAAATAAAGCACCTGGTGGCAAATGCAGCCTAATCCCGGCCTTGCCCAGGACTCCTCAGTGTCACCAGCAGGACACGTTCATGGCCGCTCATGAATCCCGTCTCCCAGCCCCATTTCGGCCCCTTAACGAGATTACCGCGTCCATGCTGCCTCATTGTTATGCGATTATTTCTTCCAAATCAGTTGATTCATGGATTCTCTCTTCTTCCAATTCAATTACGGTTTCCTTGCGTTCTGCGCCGTCTGGGCGCTTAATGGACGGACGTACCACCCCCCTTTCTCGTTCCAGCCTCCGTGGAAGCCATAGCGTAGACAAGGAGCCTTGCTCTGTCTTCCATCTTTTCACTTGATTATCAGGCAGTTGTTTCGGAACGCCAGCCTGTTCTGTTGACCGTACAGAATGTCATGATACCCTGGACTTAGGACTGAAGATGGTATCTGATTATTTGGGTATTGCTGGGGGGCGGGGGGTGGGGGGGAGTGGTGGGCGAGGGAGAGAGAGAGTGATGAGGGACTTGCCCTGATATGGATGTTAAGAGGAAATTACATCTAAAACTGGGCAAGAACTGTGAGCCAAAGGTGATGTTGGATTGTATCTGCGATTCTAACAGGGGCCCGGAATCCTCCACGGAGGCGGAAGTCAGTTAACTGTCTTTACAAACTGTAAGCTGGGATCCAACTTAGAAGAAATCGGTCACGGCCTGGCCCGTGTGCTCAGTGGTTAGCATCAACCTATGAACCAGGAGGTCACGGTTCGATTGCCCGTCAGGGCACAGGCCCGGGTTGCGGGCTCGACCCCCCAGTGCGGGGCGTGCAGGAGGCAGCCGGTCCATGATTCTCTCTCATCATGGATGTTTCTCCCTCTCCGTCTTCCTTTCTCTCTGAAATCAATAAAAAATATTTTTTTAAAAAAGAAGGAAGACAAAATAGGTGATGTACACATGGAGAAAGTTCTCACTTAAAGGAGATTTAACATGACAGATGCTTTGTACGGCTTCTCTGGTGCCTAAAGGGACACCTGAGAACGGTACGCCTCCTCGGACTGCCGACCAACGATTCTCTCTCCTTGTTGATGTTCCTCTCTCTCTCCCGCTCTCCCTTGCTCTGGGGGGGGAGAGGGGGAGGGTCCTGCGTTTCGGTGGGAACAGCGGCTTCTGCTGCTGCAATGTATCTATCACGTGCTCAGGATTGAAAATGTATTCACGCCGCCTTCTCCTGCGGGCTGTTTTTCCCCTCTTTCGATTATTGATTATTGATTATTGGTGTTGTTTTTTTCCAGATTCAAGACGACTGGAAGTATGTGGCCATGGTGATCGACCGCATTTTCCTGTGGGTTTTCATCCTGGTGTGCATCCTGGGGACAGCCGGGCTGTTCCTGCAGCCGCTGATGGCCAGGGATGACCCCTGATGGCCAGGGACGACCCCTGATGGCCCGGGATGACCCCTGATGGCCCGGGATGACCCCTGATGGCCCGGGACGACCCCTGATGGCCAGGGACGACCCCTGGGCGCCGACCTGTGCACCTGCATGAGGGGTACTGGGTGTTGGGGGGGGGAGGCGGGGAGCTGGGGAGAAGCCCTTTTTTTTATTGTGATAAAACACACTTAGCATACAATTTACCATCGTAACCTTTTCACATGCACAGCTCAGTGGTATCCAATGGTCACACTGCTATGCAATGGTCATCACCATCGATCCCCATAACCCTTTCCATCCTGTGAAACTGAAACCACATATATGTCCCATTACACAGTGACTGCCTTCCCCCTCCCCCGGCCCCTGCCAACCACCATTCTACTTCCTTTCTTTCTTTTTGACCCAAAATGTTAAGATTTAATTTACAAAGCCTTCCTTGCTGCACAGAAAGGAACAATGCTATTCCAGTCTTGGTGCAGCTGGTAGCCACAGCCGGCGGACTCACCCGTCACAGCGATCCACGCGACAGCAGGAGTCTTACAGGGAAACCTAACAACGCTGACGATTTTGTCGGGGTGCACTCCCGAGCTCGGGAGTGAGTTTCCAAAAGGGACTAAATGGGCAGAGGTGGGATGTCACAGGAGCTATTCTCTGGCTCTTGGGTGGGTGGGTGGGTGCGTGTCCTGGGGTTTGTATGACAGCTACCTTAAAAAAAAAAGAAAGAAAGAAAGAAAGAAACAGCTACGAAATCCATACGAGCAGTCCAGCCAATCCTGAAGTTTTTTTCTTTTCTTTCTTTTAAATATATTTTTATTGAATTCAGAGAGGAAGAGAGAGGGATAGAGAGAGAGAAACATCAGTGATGACTAGGTTACCTCCCAGAGTCCTTGCAACTCCCAGATTCTAACTGGAATGAAAGAGATAAAACTGAAACAGTACGTGGATGTAAAATGTGGGATGTGCTCACACAGAATCAGACCGCCGCCTTCTGTTTCAGAAGATGATTTTCTCACAGAACAATTCAGGAGTACCCACCGACATGTTTTTTAAAATGGGATTCGCTTAATCATCATGGACGCATCTAAGGTCAAGGGTAAAGAGATGAGGCCCAGGGGTTGAGCGTCGACCTATGAACCAGGAGGTCAGGGTTCGATTCCCCGTCAGGGCACATGCCCGGGTTGCAGGCTCGATCCCCAGTGTGGGGCGTGCGGGAGGCAGCCGGTCCATGATTCTCTCTCATCATGGATGTTTCTATCTCTCCCTCTCCTGTCCTCTCTCTGAAATCAATAAAAACATAATTAAAAAAAGATAAAGAGATGTTACTACAATTTATATAGAAGATGGTTCTACTGGTGGTGGAACACGTGGCCAAGGGGACTGAAATGAATAGGAGTTGTCTTGTATGATTTCACAGCGGAAGGTAAAATCCTATAAAATAAAGAGCTAATATGCTAGTGGTCGTGACGCCCTCTGCCCAAAAGGGACTAAATGGGCAGAGGTGGGATGTCACAGGAGGCTGCGTGCGTGGTGGGACGGAGCCGCCTCGTTGCTACGGAGATGGGGCGGAAGTGGGGAGGCGCCCGGAGGAGGCGGGACCAGCCCAGGGTGACTCGGGGGGGGGGGGGGACCGAGGGCGGGGCTTGAAGCGGCCAGAGACGGCCGAAGGGGGCGGGGACGGGGCCAGGCGCGCTGGAGCTCTGGGTGGAGAGGGTAGGGTGTCAAGGTGGGGCGGCGGGTGGGCAGGTGGGCGGGACGAGTGCGGGTGGGCAGGGCTGCACTATTTCACACGCCGGGTCACTAGTCCTATATAATTAAAGCCTAATATGCTAAGTGTCTGGTTGTCTGTTCAACCAATCAAAGTATAATATGCTAATGAGATGCTAAGGCCACTCAACCACTCACTATGACGTGCACTGACCACCAGGGGGCAGACAGTCGACCGGTCGTCAAGTCGCTATGACATGCACTGAACACCAGGGGGCAGACTCTCCAACTGGTAGGTTAGCTTGTTGCCAGGGTCTGGCCAATCGGGACTGAGCGAGACGGGCCGGACATGCCCTGGAGCCCTCTCTTGGTCCCTCCCTGGCTGGCCAACCTCCTGTGTCTCTCCCCGGCCCCGATCGTGCACCGGTGAGGTCCCTCAGCCTGGCCTGCACCCTCTCACAATCCAGGCTGAGGGACGCCCCCCTCCCTGAGTGCGCGAATTTCATGCACCGAGCCTCTAGTAACATAACAATTGTTCAGTTTAAGCATCTAAAGAATAAAGAAGGCCTTAAAGGAGGGCCCAACTCCCATTTTTCATTTTTTTAAAACTGTTGGGTATAGAAACTCTGCATCGTATTCCATCGTCATCGTCCCCAGTAGCCAGCTCACTGAGTGTAGTCCTGTGATACGGCGCTGACGGCTAGCTGCTGGCGCAGTAGACACGGCGCAGAGAGAGTTAAAAGCGTGTGCCGTCACCAAGCGCAGACCCAGTTCTGAAGTCCGTCTTTCGAATACCACAGGAATTTTCCGGCGCATCACAATAGGGACCTCACTGTGGATTACAGACTACAGTGGGGCCTTGACTGACGAGTTTCATTCGTTCCGTGACGGAGCTCGTAACTCAAATCACTCGCATGTCAAATCAAAATGTGAACGAGTGAGACACGTGATGCTGGGCTGATGTGGCGTTCACTGTGACGTTCGCTGCGCCAACTAGCGGTGGGGTATCTGAAGCTGGCTCGTAACCCGAATTTTAGCTCACAACTCAAAGCAAATAACCGGCCGAGACGGCTCGTATCTCGAAAAACTCGTTAGTCAGGACACTCGTGAGTCAAGGCCCCACTGTATTACGAATTTCAAAACTGTTATCAACCAGGATACAAACGTCACATGTTTGCTAGGACAGGCCAGATACTGCCGTGCTGCTATTTTAAGGAGATCAGGTGTGATTCAATCAGTTACCGTGTTAGTCGTGCAGATAGATTTTTCTAGTGGGCAAGTCTGTTACGATAAATGGACGCTAGCAACTGTTCATCTGTTTGGGCTTGCGGGACATTTAAACACAGCTGGCTTTTTCATCATTCTATGGGTGCCCTAAGGTACATACGTACAGTGGAACCTCGTTTCCCGAACGCCTCCCATCTCGACAACTCGCTTCTCACCCTGACAACCCTTTCAGGCTGGTACCTGTAGGGTCAGTCACAATCCCTCAGGTGACAGAGGCGAGGATGTACGAATATGAGTCCGTTTCCCACCGTTACAATCTCAGGATACTGTGCTGTGAGTACTTTCGCGTTGTTTTTTGTTGTTTTGCTTTTGTGGCTGCTTATACTTATTGTTACATTTTCATTTTTGAAAAATATATTTTATTGATTTTTTACAGAGGGGACGGGGGAGGGCTAGAGAGTTAGAAACATCGATGAGAGAGAAACATCCATCAGCCGCCTCCTGCACACCCCCCACTGGGGATGTGCCCGCAACCAAGGTAAAGGCCCTTGACCGGAATCGAACCCGGGACCCTTGAGTCCACAGGCTGACGCTCTATCCACTGAGCCACACCAGTCAGGGCTACATTTTCATTTTTAACTGTACATTTCCTTTCCTTTTCGTTAAACTTCCATTTATATTTCATGTCCTTTTTGCTGTTAAAGTGTTTATTTCTAGATGAAACAGTACAAGAGACATGTACTGTGTATAAGAAAGGTTAAGCCCTGGCCGGTGTTGCTCAGTGGATAGAGCGTCGGCCTGTGGACTGAAGGGTCCTGGGTTCGATTCTTGTCAAGGGCACATGCCCGGGTTGTGGGCTCGATCCCCAGTGGGGGGCGTGCAGGAGGCGGCCGATCCATGATTCTCTCTCATCACTGATGTCTCTCTTTTTCGCCCCCTCCCTTCCTCTCTGAAATCAATAAAAGTAATTTTTAAAAAATTTAAAACAGGGGCCAAAACCAGTTTGGCTCAGTGGATAGAGCGTCGGCCTGTGGACTGAAGGGTCCCAGGTTCGATTCCGGTCAGGGGCATGTGCCTGGGTTGCGGGCACATCCCCAGGGGGTGTGCAGGAGGCAGCTGATCGATGTTTCTCTCTCATCGATGTTTCTAACTATCTCTCTCCCTTCCTCTCTGTAAAAAATCAATAAAATATATTTTTTAAAAAAATTTAAAACGGAATCATTTGGGGGTGTGGAACGGATTAATTCAACTTGCATGATTTCTAATGGGGGAAATGATTCGGTTTTCAGACAGCCTCGCGGAAGGCATCAAGCTCGAGAAGCGAGGTTCCGCTCACTGTGCGTGCCTTTTGGTGACTGGAACCCCTGCTCCCGCCCTAGGGAGGCGTCACGTGTTGGCGGTTCCGACGGGAGCTGGAGCCAGGACCGCGGCCCATTTATAAATCACAGGAATGAAGAGCCCCAGGGAGCCGACCACCGAGACCACAAGGAACGTCCACAGGAAGAGCCGGTCGAGGACCCGGGCTATGAACTTCCAGTCTTCAACCACCTGTGGCCAAAAAAAAAAAAGAGGCCCACATTCAATACAGAATTCAACACTGTGTACTTATTTTCAGATATGATCTGCTGCCCTGGCCGGTGTGGCTCAGTGGATAGAGCGTCAGCCTGCAAACTGAAGGGTCCCGGGATCGATTCCGGTCAAGGGCACATGCCCGGGTTGCAGGCTCGATCCCCAGTGGGGGGCGTGCAGGAGGCAGCCGATCCATGATTCTCTCTCATCATGGATGTTTCTCTCTCTCTCCTTCTCCCTTCCTCTCTGAAATCAGTAAAAATATATTTTTTAAAAAGATATAATCTGCTGAATTAAGGCCAAAGTAGTTTCTTCCACCTCAACACTGTAAGTGTGTTGTCGTCGTCCCCTCCCCACCCCACCCCCCGCCCCCCATGCTCAGTGCTCAGGGACAGATGCTGTGGTAACAGAGCCTCAAGGACATGGCACAATGTCATTCACACATCGACTGGTAATATTTTACAGCTGGCTTATTTTGACGATTTATAATAAAAGTTAGAATATTTATACTATTTGGATATTTGGTAATAAACCCCCAAATATCTCTTTCATTCGCTTTTTCCCCCATCAAATATATCTGTACTGATTTCAGAGAGGAGGGGAGAGGGAGAGAGAGAGAAACACCCATGAGGAGAGAGAATCATGGATCTGCTGCCTCCTGCACGCCCCCCACTGGGGATCGATCCCGTAACCCAGGCCTGTGCCTCTGACCTGAATCAAACCTGGCACTCTATCCACTGAGCCACGCCGGCCGGGGCCAGAACCGGATTTAACAAAGATCTTTTCGAGGACGTGCGTCCACGTTTCTGGCCCTGGCCGGCGCTTGGCCGCGGAGGGCCCTGACCCGCCTCTGCGACGCCCGGGGCACAGACCTCTCCGACGGCGTTCTCCTTCGCCACGTGCCTCGCGATGTAGCGGATGGAGTCCAGTGCGGCTCCCAGCGCGTCCCGGGAGGGGCTCGGTCCCCCGCGGGCCCCGGCCTCCTCTCTCGGGGCGGAGTACCGGTCGGCGTGGCCCCGCATGCACAGCAGCCGGGGGAGCCGGTGCAGGAACACCTGGCGGACCCAGGGCGCCATGGCGTGGTGCGTGGAGGGCGCGCGGTGGTGGATGTTGATGGCGAAGACGGTCACGGTGATGGACAGCGTCAC